CCCCCGATTGGAAACTGCATGCTAACATATGTATAGGTCGTGGACAAGTGCAGAGAGCAAGACGCATCGGCGGATCCAAACCAGACTGTTCAGGCTTTTATTGATCTTTGCCAACGACATGAGCACAACTTTTACAAGTTTGTCCATGAAGTGCATACTCACGATAACGGCCTCTTCACACAGCTCATGGGCTGGATCGAAGGTATCCTCGAGTTCTTACGAAAGGGTCCTAAGAACGGAACCCTTAATGTCAACGCCTTGTTCGAGGGCGGTGTCAGCGCTGGAATTCTGGATAAAGACAAGGCAATTGCAGAGATCAACTCTCTTATTGCATGGCAAGAGGCTCGAAAGAAGTGGCACAATGATAAAACGAGACAGAAGATGGCAGCCGAGGGCCATGCAGGAAGTGACATGATGCCAACGGCGATGGCTTTCAACTCATCAGACTTTGGATTAGACAGCGAAGACCTCGAGGATATGGCTTATGATGATGGCTCAGAAGATGAGGCAGAGGCAGAAGCGGAAGATGAGTTGGATCCCATCGAGGCTGAGAGGCGACGCAGAGCCAAGCGACAGGATCGCTTGCGACGAAGCGCTGGAGAGCCCGTTAAGCCTCCTGTGGGAGAAGTTCACAAGCTGACCGACAATTTCCTGGTCATGCTTCGTGAGGTATTATCGAATTAGATTTAGTAAGATATCCTTGTTGCGGTTGCATACTACTTAGGAGAACGAGACGGAGTTGGCTGTGCTGATTCTGGCAGTATAAATGTACAGAGCGCCATGATTATAGAGTCAGGGAATGGTGGAGAATGGTAGAGCCAGTAGACGTCAAGATTCTATCTTTAATTGCTTCATTAAATGTCCTGGTATTTGAATGTGATGTACCTCATGTTTTATTGTGGCCTTAGAGGTCTAAGTAGAATGAAGGCGTAATTAGGAACGTCTCAACATCTGATCAAACCTTACGAACATATATATGATCGTAAGTCCCAGGCCTCCAACATGAGGTTTGGGTTAAGCGTAGTCTTTTATTGTCTGAGCTCATCACCGGAGAAAGAGGTCTCTTTCCAAGTTCTATTTAAACCCTGTGAGTTGTCAAGGCTGTAGACTGCAGTACGAAAACCGGACTTTGATGACCGGCCCCGAAAATTGGTTCCGGGCCGGGTCGTGTTGTTGTGACTGACAGCAGCTGGAGGTGGAGCCGTCAGCACATGCCGTTGATATCGGAATAGGCGGGGGAAACGGGGAGCCGAAGGGCAAAATGTACATCCGCGGACACGTGATGAGATCCAACTGTCTTGAACGTCATGGATTTGTTAGACTCGCAAAGGCGAATCTTCCCGATCCATTTGGCTTTGATATTGGATGAAGATCGAAGGAGGATAAAATTGGATGTAGTATCATGAAAAACGGTTGAAAATTAAAAAACCAATTGGCTTCGACAACGACGCACCTCGGACTCAAGGAGCTCTATCATTTGACTGCACAGTGAGCCCAACACAGGTCATTGACTTCCGAGTCCCTATATCTTCAGTGGCTTACAGCGTCCACGTTCAGTAGGCGGCGAATAATCGGTGCTGCTAATAAGCCAACGCTGATTGGTTGGATCAACCGAGGAGCCGAGAGAATCCGTCCGATCGAGGCTCGCGAAGGACGAGAGACCCAAAAAAAACATCAAGGGGAATTGTCGATTGGTTGGACAGTCAATTCAATCCATTCTCTCTCTCCTCCAAAACCACATCTAACAAAAGTCCTGCTCCTCCGCCACCCGAAGATATCGTCAAATACCACCCTTTCGATTCTCCCCGCGGATGCAGTTTGGTCTTGGTCATAGTGACTTTAGTTGATGATGGCTTCTTCTATGGCAATGAGGAGATTGGCCGTCGGCCCTGCTGTGAGTAGTCCCTGGTCTGGCCTCTGCGATGGCATCATGAAACCGATTGTCCACCGCAGGAGCTTCGTCAGCTCATCAATGCGCTTTGCTAACCTCTTGATAGTTCACGCGTGCTGCTAGGTTCCCTTCTCGAGCTTTCTCCACCACTCGACCTGTTGGTACGCTTTTCTCCGAATGCTATGCGCAGCTTTAAAATACTGACGAGCTGTCCACAGCCCGAGTTATCACAGGCAATGGTCCTTTGCGAGCCAAGGAGGCCTCTCCTTTCGTGAGCAACAAATACGCCGTCATCGTACGTCTACCCGATCATCCGCGAATCACAGATCTCGTCAATTGACACTTTTCAGGACCACGAGTATGATGCTCTCGTCGTTGGTGCTGGTGGTGCCGGTCTGCGAGCTGCTTTCGGTCTCGCTGAGGCTGGCTTCAACACTGCCTGTATCTCCAAGCTTTTCCCTACTCGATCTCACACCGTCGCCGCCCAGGGTGGTATCAACGCTGCCCTAGGTAACATGCACGAGGATGACTGGCGATGGCACATGTACGATACCGTCAAGGGTTCCGACTGGCTGGGTGACCAGGATGCTATTCACTACATGACCCGAGAGGCCCCCGCTTCCATTATCGAGCTTGAGAACTACGGCTGCCCCTTCTCGCGAACTGACGATGGCAAGATGTGAGTCTGGACTTTGAAATCCGCCCACACAACGGCTACTGACAATTTTATCAGTTACCAGCGAGCTTTCGGTGGTCAATCCAAGGAGTACGGAAAGGGTGGACAGGCTTACCGATGCTGCGCTGCTGCTGACCGAACCGGCCACGCCCTTCTTCACACGCTCTACGGACAGTCCCTCCGACACAAGACTAACTACTTCATCGAGTACTTCGCCCTCGACCTGATTATGCAGGATGGTGAGTGCCGCGGTGTCCTCGCCTACAACCAGGAGGACGGTACCCTGCACCGATTCCTTGCCAATCACACCGTTCTCGCTACTGGTGGTTACGGACGAGCCTACTTCTCTTGCACATCTGCCCACACCTGCACTGGTGACGGCATGGCCATGGTTGCCCGTGCCGGTCTCCCCAACCAGGATCTCGAGTTCGTCCAGTTCCACCCTACCGGTATCTACGGAGCTGGTTGCCTGATCACTGAGGGTTCTCGTGGTGAGGGTGGTTACCTCCTCAACTCTGAGGGTGAGCGATTCATGGAACGATATGCTCCTACCGCTAAGGATCTTGCTTCTCGTGATGTCGTTTCTCGATCTATGACCCTGGAGATCCGTGAGGGACGTGGTGTTGGTGCTGAGAAGGATCACATCTACCTCCAGCTCAGCCATCTCCCCGCTGAAATCCTTGCTGAGCGTCTGCCCGGTATCTCTGAGACCGCCGGTATCTTCGCTGGTGTTGATGTCCGCAAGCAGCCCATTCCCGTTCTTCCTACCGTCCACTACAACATGGGTGGTATTCCTACACGATACACTGGTGAGGTTCTTACCGTGGACGAGAAGGGTGAGGACAAGGTTGTCCCTGGTCTGTACGCTTGTGGTGAGGCCGCTTGTGTGTCTGTCCACGGTGCTAACCGCCTGGGTGCCAACTCTCTTCTCGATCTTGTTGTCTTCGGCCGTGCCGTTTCGCACACCATTCGTGACAAGTTCAACCCCGGTGACGCCCTGAAGCCTGTTGCCGCTGATGCCGCTTCCGACCACATCGAGGTCCTCGACAAGGTCCGAACTGCTGATGGTCCCAAGAGCACCGCTGAGATCCGACTTGCCATGCAGAAGGCTATGCAGACTGATGTCAGCGTTTTCCGAACCCAGGAGAGTTTGGATGAGGGTGTTCGCAAGATGAAGGAGATCGATGCCATGTACAGCCAGGTTGGCATGAAGGATCGCAGCATGATCTGGAACTCTGATCTCGTTGAGACCCTTGAGCTCCGCAACTTGCTCACCTGCGCGTAAGTTTTGACTCTTTCATGACACACTGAAGTAATACTGACACTTTATACAGCATCCAAACTGCCACCTCTGCCGCCAACCGAAAGGAGTCTCGTGGTGCTCACGCCCGCGAGGATTTCCCTGAGCGAGATGACGAGAACTGGATGAAGCACACTCTTTCTTTCCAGAAGGAGCCCCACGGCAAGGTCGACCTGGCATACCGAAAGGTCATCGCCAACACCCTGGACGAGGCCGAGTGCAAGCCCGTGCCACCCTTCAAGCGTGTGTACTAAGCGATTGTGAAGGAAGTACTTGGGAAGGAGTTTTTGTTAGCTTGTTGGGAAACTTGGCATGCATGATTCTACGCAGGGCAGCGTCTCCTTTGTGACAAGATGTGCGGTATATATATCCTTTGGGAAGAGGAGGCGGACATGATAAGCAGCGAGAGAATGGTCTCTGTTGGGTCTTAGGATGAAGACTTGGCAAGGGGCGTGTATTTGTCGACATTTTGTAGTTCAAAAGAAGTTAAGAGACTTAAAAAAGAAGATTTTCTATGTACCTTGTGTGACTGTGTCTACAGCCCATCGTTTTGCTTGGTAAGATATCATGATACATTCGTTCAAGAGCCTAGGTAATTTTGGCTCTCCTGTAACCCATGTTCATCATTAGACCCGTCAAATGTTGGTATAATTCTTGGAGGCTACAAGTTCGACCCAATTTTGAATATCTTAGGGGCACCACACCCAGTTCAATGATCGATAGGCAGAATAGTGCGTTCACATATTTGATGGAGTTGTGTCTGCGGTGACTAGGCCTATGCCATTGTTCTCTCCGTCCAACGTTGAGGTGTTTCTGTTGTTCACGAGGAGTGTAGTCCAGAACAAAGAATCTCAATACAATCATTACATACAAGAGGCAACGTTCATTGAATTTAGTAATTACAGTGAAATTTTGCAATGATCATCTCTATTATAAAATGGCACATTCTTTCGTCGTCGTAGTCTCAAACCTACAGCCCATCTCAACTTCCTAAGCACTAGACTTTGCATCTGAGCAGCCAAACCCAACTCTCGTCCTAAGCTCGTCACCACTGCTCTTCAGGTACGCAGTAGAATCTCATAAAAGTTACGTGACTACAAATATCACCTATCACCGGGCCCGCCCCATCCAACATGTGTCGTCAAGTCATCCGCGTTGCCTCGTGCTGGCTCTGTAACTCTAGACTCGAACCCTTTGGTCGATTCTTCCCTTGCGGCAATGTGATCACTGCAGGGAAAAAGGGCTGCGACATTTTGGATCTGGAGGAAAACGTCGGCCCTGGGGATTTGCTATGTCGTATGTGCCTTAGGATCACTGATGGGGAAAACAAGCTCAACGAGAACCAGAAACTACCTGGATCCCCCAAGATGGCTGGAAGACGTGAGTTGGAAGTGATGGGGTAGAGACTGGACATTGAAAGCTACTGAGACCGAAAACTAGGAACAGGATAAAAAGGATGTAGTGGTGGTAGGGGTATATGCTATGCTTGTGTCTTATGGTGGGTGCTATATGTCTAAATGGTAAAATGCGTGGGAAACGAAACGCAACATGCTAGCTGTCAACCAGCACAACTATCTGTTCGAGACAGAATCTTCGCTAAATAACAATCCTTCTTCCTCATCTCTGGGTATATCCCCCTCATTCCTCGCATGGTTGCTTCGTGATGTGGATGGCTTTGCTTGTGCTCTCTCGTAGTAAGCCACGAAAACTAGGATCAATTGAACGAGACTAAGGGGATAATTGTAAGTCAGAAAGGTGAAACTATGATGTTTTCTTGCTCCCCGAGGTCATAGGAGTAGTACTAGACTTACGCTTTGGTGATGCCGAAACATCCAAGGGCTCGTCTCCCAAGATGTGACTCGTCTGTGGTTGGGGCCGAGCCGGAAACTGGGTGATCCGCAGGACCGAAATAGCCGCTGAGGAGTGACAGGATTGCAAACAGAACGGCTAATGGAAGGTCGATGCAGATTCGTATGGAGGGGCTAAAGCTGTGGTATCTTCTGGTCCAGAGGTGGATAGAGTCCGCAAAGTTCCATATCAGAGCAAGGGTAGCCTAAGTTGTTTCTTCGTTAATAGGTGGCATAGTCATGAGAACAGACAGGTACGTACGACAACCCCGAAGAATATGATAGAGATTGTTCCATCACTAGAACTAGATGCCAATAAAGAGATAATTATAAGAAGAAGAGCGTCAACACAGATGGAGAAGAGGCGAAGGTTGAGTCTGGCATTCTGTATATGATCTTTGGCTGGAAGAGATGATGTATCGTGAGCTGACAACGGTTGTACCTGTTCTCCAGGCCGGTCTAAAGGTTGATCTTGTGATGGTGTTGGGCTTTGTTTAGGAGCAGAATCGAAGTCGTCATACTGTGGTCCAGCCATTGTAAGTGGAATAGCCATCCTGCAGCTACGACTTCACTCGCTCAACAGAGATCCAGTGCCAAGATATGGAAAGAAGAAGATTGATGGGATCAGGCGAGATTACATAAGAGTAGAGCCGTCATCTTTTAATGCTTACCGCCCACAGCATAGTTAATGTTTCGAACGAATCCTGAAGGAAGATGGATATATGTCTAGAGCCAGAGGACCCCTGTTTAGCTACCCGCGTACCCATGCTACGCCGAATGAGGGGCTCATGGAGGCTCAGCTTCCGAGAGTCTCTTTTGGTAGCCAAACTGAACTGACAAGGCAATCCCCTGTCAAGGTTTATAACTATGCCTATTGTCTCTTGACGATGTTGCATTTTGAGGCTGATCCCAAGTAATTGACGGATAATGCGGCGGTAACTAGTGGAATTGTCGGCCCGTTGTCCGTCTACCTATAGAACAAACATCTCTATTTTTAAGTCGTATCCTGTTTATTTTACTTTTCCTCCTTCCTATTCTGCTCTTCGCCTTGTTCTTCATCTTCTGTCTGTGTTTGTGTTATCACGGGCTTTTCTCGTCGAGGATGCCAACCTCCTGTCCAGCCGATCCATCCCTTTTCCCTGGGTCCTCTCGCGACGGCAATCAAGATGGACAACCCAACGAATGCAACTGTTGATGATCACATTAGCAGTTTGCTTGCGAAAGAAGAGACCGCTGAGTTAACTTACTGCTGCATCCGCCGCTTCTCCTCCAGCCTCCACTAGCATATAGTCTGTTTCCCACTGCCGTGCCAGTCAATTGTCCAGCAAACACCAGGGCCATGTAAGCCGTGTTAACTCTATTACGTGCCTTGGGGTTGATGCTGAAGATGGCTGCGCGGTTCGACACTGCTGCTGTCTGCATACCGACATCGATACCGATAGCCTGAATCACAAGGCCGGCAACGGTAAAGTTTCCAGTGAAAGTTCCGACGATAGCTCCAGTCAACGCCAGGACCTGGCCGCCTATCGTCGGGAGTAGAGGTATATAACGATCAATCAACCTCCCAATCAAGGGGATCGACAAGATAGTCGCAAGCGCAGTCAGAGAAAAGAGACCAATCTGTAGGGATGTATAGTCATAGGGTGGAGAAGCGAGTAGAAACGTCAATGTTGTCCAGAACGACGTGAACACAGCTGACAGCGAAAAGGCAATGAGACAAGCCTGTATCAGAACAGGCTCTGTGACCATCATACGAGGAATCGACCAGAGAGCATAGAGATAGTTCAGCCCATCCGGATTGGTAGATGGATAGTCAGGCATGAAGCAGAAGAGCACAACCCCCATGAGGTACTGCAGACCGCAGGCCAACCAGTAAATGTTGCGCCAGCTTGTGAAATTCGCTACAACTCCGGAGAGCAACCTCGCCATCAACAGACCCAGCATGAGTCCTGATGTGACAATAGCGAGAAGAGATGCCTTTCGATGCGCTGGCGCAAAGTCTCCCACTAGGGGAACCATCAGCTGTGGTGTCACTGTGGTAGCACCGCATACAAAAGATAAGGCACGGAAGACGGTAAAGTCATTTGTTACACAGAGTCCTATCCACTACATGATGTCAGCTGCTGAATATGGTAACATGTTGCACAGGGCTTACCATTGTTGCAGTGGCCAGAACAAGAGCGATGATGAACGGGCGTCTTTCGAGAATATCCCCGAGTGGTAGAACAAAAATGAGACCAGCTGCGTAGCCTGACTGCAACAGCGTTGCAACCTGGGACGATTCTTCGTATGAGACATTGAAAGTGGCGGCTATCTTGTTGAGAATTGGCTGGTTGTAGTAGAGGTTTGCAACTGTGATACCCGATGCCTATTTCTGTTAGTTGGCATGAGCTTCAGTAGTTGAGGTGATTTACTTGCCAAGGCGTAGAGACAGCAATGTCTCATAGACAAAGCTGGTGGCGACTCATCGTTCCATCGACAATTCTTTGGTGTCAATACCCTACGAAGTAAACTCGTTTCATACTTTGAAGACTGCAACACGATGTTGCTGGAGCCCGTTACTTCAGTTGACTCGATTGAATTGCGAACCTTGGTGTCCTCGGCTGAATCTTGACTCGGAAATGTTTCCGTGATGCTATCACCAGCGACATTTGGTCTCTCAGGTTGATTCGAGGATGTCATCGTTGTTCAACAGACACGTTAATGAGAGGTGAACAGAAACAAACGGCGATCAACAAATAGTCAACATGCTAAGAAACCCGAAAAAGGCGTCTCTTTGTGGGAGTTATATAAGAGATGATCAACAATGGCAAAAAATTAGCATGATCAATAGTCGTCAAAGTGGATTATTGTCTAACTACATATCCCCAATGGAGTTGCGGAATCGCAAGCACGGAGTTGGCTAGCTATCTAATCAGAAAGCACGCAAGACAACGGACGGGGGGCTACGACATTCTGCTTCTTTTCCTCCTTTTGCCCATGGAAATGGGGGTCAACTAATGTTGTGCTGCTTGGAGAGGTTGACCGGATATAAATGTCCGTAATATCCGCCTCTAAGAGTGTCAGCAGCTTCATTGCAACCCTAGACGTGTAATACAGTTCGGGTTCCGTATGCAGCCATTGAAGACTACAACTCAAATTTAGTTAAGCTCAGATGAGTTGTGACGAAGGGTCTTATCATCATAGACTTTGAAGCCAAAGAATGAAAGAAGTACCCATATATAAGCTATTGTGACGAACTATGGCCAGGTCATTAGAAGTCTGGGATCGTTGTAAAGGCCGAAGGACAGCCTAGAGCTGGAATTGGTATTATTATATTCGAGGTTTGTCTACGAATCGTCTTCGCTCTCATCCCAGATATCACTGATAGTCGGCACATGAAGGCCCAAAGCAGAGAGTCTTTACACAAGGCATATCCCAAATCTAGTCCTTTTCATGAATGGCATCTACTATAACATGGCAAGAATTTAAGATTTAATCGTCCTTTTGACAAAATACATCCTCCCCGTTTCACACCAACTCCATCCACTCCCAGCACCAGTCAACTTTTGTTAGAAAGCATTCCCAAAGTTTACCTCTTCTTGCCCTTGCGCTTGTTAGCCTTGCCCTGCGAAGCGCCAGATGCCTTGGCCTTGGTGAGAGAATCAGTGCTCTTGTCAAGGAGCTCAAAGTCCTCGCCGGCGGAGTCGGTGCTGGGGGTGGGCTGGGGGACATCAGAGTCATCATCCTCAGCGGGGATCTCGATCTCAAGGTCGGTGGGCTTCTTGGAAAGGAAGCGGCCGGCAGTGACGTTGAACAGGAAGATGGGTGCGCGGAAGACTGCGGTGTCCTTGATGGTGGGCTTGGCAAGCTCGTTGGGCTGTCGCATGTTAGTTTAGTCATTTCGATGAGATTGTGATAACTTACATCAAGGAGGAACTCGTGGACCTCGCCCTCCTCATCCTCTCCCTCGAGGTAAACATCACCAAGGGAGTCAACAACAAGGATCTTGCCATTCTCAGCAACGACTCGCTTGCGAGCACCAGTAGGTCCAGCAGCAGGGGTAGGAGTAGCAGTTCCAGAGGAAGCCTGAGCAGCACGGCGCGTCTTCTTAGCAGGACGAGCTCCATCGCGCTTAGCCGCCTTCTCCTGCATACGGCGCTCTCGTCGGTTCTGGGGCAGAGGGGGGGCCTCTTCCTCGTCGCTAGCGGGCGCTGGAGATGCAGCAGGGGCTGGAGCGGGAGCTGCGTCGACGCCAGGGATGTTAAGACCTCCACCCCAAGCGGTGTCGCGGGCGAACTTGATGTAGCGCTCGACAAACTCCTTCTGTCGCTTCCAGCTCATGTACAGAGTGAGGTAGTGAAAACCACCACCTACAACGAGGAAAAGGCCAACGATGACCGTGCCCAGGCCGGGGCGGTATCGGTTGTAGTAGTAATCGGTGCCCTTCCAAAGAGGGAAGCCATTGGAGAGGAAATGGTCGTATCGGTCGCGCTCGGGGCCACGGAGGATGTTGGCGATGAGGGAGAGACGAGCCTGAGCTTCGCCGGCCTTCTTCACAGCAGCCTTGATCTCAGCATTGGTAGGGGGCTTAGTCTTTGTGCCAGCCTTCTTGTCCTTTGCAGCCTTGGATCGCATTGCCTGTCTGACCTTGTCCGGGTGCAGATTTCGGGTCTGCTTGCGATAGGCCTTGGTAATATCATCGAGCGAGGCAGAGGGAGGGACGCCGAGGATGTCGTAGAAGTTGGCAGCAGGATCGGTCTCATACTTTGAGATCTCATCTCGAATGCGAAAGATTTCGCGATCTGGGAGGATGGGAATTAGTGTTAAGACATGAATCAGAGGGGAGCCCAGAGTAAAACAAACATACCTTCTTTGCTCCAGGCGGCTGCCAAGGGGCTGAAGAGGGCGAGAAGCCCAACGGACAAGTACGAGATCTTCATCTTCAACCGTCGATGCGATGAAGAAGAGAGGAAGAAGCGGTACAGCAAAAGGGAAAAGAAAAAAACAAGACAGAGAGGAAGAGATGAGATGAGAGAGGGCAGGGGGCTGTAACGGTTCCTGGGCTAGAGCGTAGCTTAGATCTTCATCCCTACCTACCTCTAGGTACAGTACTTTTTTTTAGTGGAGGGGGGAACCTATTGCAGAAGGCCAGCTGTCCTATACTGACTGCACTGGTCAAACTCACCCAATACAAACGCGAAGGAAAGCGCCTCAATTGAGGAGTGTGGCCAAACACAGGTGATTAGACGAGCTGTGATAACGTATTGCAAATAAATCAATTGTTGCTGCAACCACTGTTTGTGGCTTTTTGGAGGCAACAAGACCCTTTATGTTGCACTATTTGGGGTTGTATAACAGGGGTTCAAGCATGTCTACCCCTTCGGATACATACAATGGGCCTTTTTCAGTTATTGATCCCTATTCAAAGCCACAATATCAACTGCCGGTGTCATACATGTCGACTCGATACTCGGACTTTTGCTGCAAATGACGCTTGAAGAAGTCCCTTTGACGAGCAAGACCATACTTCCCTCCTCCACAGCCATGTCCACCACCAGGAATAAATAGAAACTCATAATTCTTGCCCGCCTTGTTCAAGGCATTTGCCATCTGAAACGTTGAAGATGGATCGACATTATCGTCCAAATCTCCAACAATCAGCATCAAGGGCCCCTTGAGTTTCTTGGCGTGAGTTATGTTAGACGCCTTCTCATACGCCTCATCAACTGGGTATCCCATCCACAGCTCGTTCCACCACAACTTATCCATGCGGTTATCATGACAGCCTGAATCTGCGATGCCGGCCTTGAAGAAATCACTGTGGTGAAGCATCCCTGCTACAGCATTCTGTCCTCCTGCTGAAACGCCCATGATTCCCACTCGAGAGAGGTCCATCCATGGTCGTGAAGATGCCGCAGCTTTCAACCAAGCGATATGGTCTGGAAGTCCAGAATCATCAAGATTCTTATAGCAGATTTCATGGAAGCCTTTGTTGCGCCAGTTTGTGCCCATTCCGTCAATTATCACGACGATGTACCCTTCATCTGCCCATCGCCGTCGATCCGAGAGAGTTGAAAATGCTTTGGGGACCCGAAAGTTATGAGGCCCGGCATAGATCTCATCAAACACGGGATATTTCTTGGTGCTGTCAAAGTCCACGGGTCGAATGATGATTCCGTATACAAGTGTCTTGCCATCACGGCCAGGGGAAGCAAACCTCTCGGGAGAAGACCATCCCTTATCTTCCAGTTCTTTCGACTCAACCTTCTCGAGTGTCATTATCTCTTGTCCAGACTCGCTGTCACGGAGGACCGTTGTAGGTGGACAGTCGACCCTCGACCAAGTGTCTATCAAGTAACGTTTGTCTGGAGAGAGAGACCAAGAGTGAGTTCCATCTCCATCTGTGAGAGTCTTGAAATCTGATCCATCGAAATTGACGCTTACTAGATGTGCGTGATAGGGGTCTTCACTGTCCTTGAGTCCATAGCCTCGCATCCAAATTCGACGACAGTCCTTGTCCACAAACTCTACAAAGTTGACCATCCATGACCCCTCTGTGATCTGGTTCTTGACCGAGCCAGTGACGAGGTCGATCAGATACAGATGATTATATCCGTCACGCTCACTAGCCCAGATGAGTTCGTCAGAATCTCTAAGGAGCTTGAAGTATGACTTCGTATAGTCTACAAACGTGCGGCTCTCCTCTTCTACAAGCGTCCTGACACTTCCGCCGACTTTGATACCAATGACTCTGGTATGTTGATGTCCACGCTCGTTGACATAAAAGAGATATTCCTGAGTGTTACGGTTCCATTCCAGATTGCTTACTTGGTAAGGATTCTTGAACAGCGAATCGTCAGTCGCAACTTCGCTGTGACTCTTGAGGTCAAAGAGCCGAGGTCTGTCGATCCTAACACGGTCGCCGGGCTTGAGGTATGACTTTGTGTGAAGTTTTGGCTCAATCTGGTCTTCTGGAGATGATTCCACCAGACTGATCTTGTGGTCTTGCCCGGAGGTATACTGCCATGCGACTGCATGCTGCTTGTCTGGCGATATGTACAAGTGTCTTTTGTCGTAAGGACTCTTTTCGTTTCCATTCTCAGATAGCTGAAAGGCTTCATCGTTCTCGCTTTTGAACCATACATTGAACTCTTTGATGTAGAGACATGGTCCGTTTTCGGGTTCCGTTGGTTCTTCATCAGTTTCAGAATCTTCGTCGTCGCTGGGCGGGGACGCCTCAAGGATAGAGTCACTGAGATGCTCGATGACAGCGACATGATTCCCCTCGTCAGGTGCTGAATAGACTGCCCTGTATTTTTCGTTCGACACATCTACCAGTCGCCAAACATGGCCCACGTATGTAATCTGTCGTTTGGTTTCGCCGTTCTTGATCGACATATACGGAACAGCTTTTGCTTTCCAATCTATCCAATACATCCTGAGGGTTTTGCCTGTGCGATTCACAAAGTCGACGGTGACTTGAGTGTCACTGTGTGCAGAAATCACTTCTTTTTGGAGCAGGTGATCTGGTTCAGTGGTGAATTGTCCCTCCCATTCTTGAAGCAGATTGTTTGGCCCAAACTGCCACTTTCGATTGCCAAAGCGAAACCGAATACATGATTCGTCTGGGACTGGTTCAAACCAGTTGAAAGAAAGAGAGTATTGGTCAACTTCTTCGTTTGTCTTCTCGCGCAGAGCCT